TGGAATTTTGTTTACCACTGACACGGTCATTCTAAACATTGACTTGAAAATAGACCATTTTTTGCACAATTATATATAATATTATTTTAAAATTAGGTTTTTAAAGTATTTTGAATGTATATCTATTAAGAGAACTTAATAGGTATACATTATCTATATTATTAAAAAAGCAATATCAAAATATATTTATTTCATATTATTGCATTCCAAATAAAATTAGTACATTATTTTATTTTATATAGTTATCATTACTTTGTTACTGGTGTGAACATTAAAAAGATTAATAATTAACTATTATTGATAATCTATAAAATTGAATCACTTCACCCGTGCAAATGCTTATACAAAAATTACAATGAAATCTATGTTCTATTATCTTCTCTATTTTTAAAAATAATTAACATTTTGTAGTAGCCATTCATAACATAATATACTTTTTAAAATGACTGAAGAATTTCTTTGGAATCCAGTTTTAGTAACTGTATCACTTTAATCGATCATATAATGAGTGAGCGGCACACACGTAAATCAACATACGAAAAATTATCTTTTAAGTCGACATTTTGAAAACAATTTCATATAATATGGGTTAAAATCCCATGTATAATTCATAATATAATATAATTTTGTTTCCACTGTTTTGAAGAATCAAAGTTATTTTAACTTGAGAGATTTATAAATATAAAGTTATTAAAACAAATAATTACAATTAACTCACAATAGGGTTTTAAGTATTATTATTGGAAATGATTAATTTCGAAATTCTATCATCAAAAATATAATATTATGGATAATATAATCATGTCTATATTAATAAAATAAAATATTGCAAATATTATAAAACCAGGTGAACTATAAAAAATAATATTCTTTGTTAATTATTGTTATAAAGTGTAAAATATGCGTTTTAGGGGATAAATAATAACTCCTTGTTTCGAGAATATAAAGATTAAATATAAGAAAATATCTACACAGAGACCTTATTATAATGAGATGATACAATAAAGCTTATGTTTATCCATAGTTATATTATACTACATGAAATCAAATATAAATACACAGGAGCCTATGCACTAACCACCAATACTTCATTACTCGAACATTTAAAGGGGTAGTTTCTCTTGCTACATGGTTGTTAGGATCTAAAAACTGTTCCTACTCTTCAGTCATAATACTTTTACAGAATTTTCTAAAGCATAAATAAAATCCAATGAAAAAGATAAACGGTAAATGTCTAATATTTTTGTAATATTTATATAGTGTCTAGAGATATTAAATTACCTAAATTAAATTTCTAATGACTCAAATTAAGATTTAAGAGTATGAAGAGCAATAAAATGTGTTTTAATTAGTAACAAAAATAATTTCTTCTAATAGTTTTTAGTAATGTTTACAATTTATAAATGCATAAATGTTAATACACAGTAAGTTAAATTGTGAATAGATTGACAACCATTGACAAATTTTACTTTATACCTTCTAATAATTATAATTATTATTGATAAAATATAATCATTTGATTGAAAAAAATATCCTTTTATTATTGAGTATTATATTCGAAAATCTTATGAAACAAATTAATACAATAATTCAATGTCTTTCAGTTAACACAACAATAATAGTCTTAGCAAATAAAAATCAAAGTCATTTTATAAAAGGACACAATATCTGTATATTTAATATCCATCATATTTTTATAAATATAATATATCAATACTTATAAATAAATATAAATCAAAATTACGTGAGTAAATAATATTATTACACTTTCAATAACATTACATCTACAATTTAAGATTTTTCTATTTATTTCTATACTGGAAATAACATAATTTTTAATAAGTTACAAAAAATTAATATTTTATCGATTTTTTTTTCATCATAAGTTTTAATGATTAATATTATTACACTATATTTGGTTTTAGACTAAAAACTCTTATAGTTATAAAAGCTTTGTGAACGATCATTGATGACAACTTAAAATATTATTATATAGCCAGATAATTATTTAATTAAAACTGTCGTGATTAAATTTAAGAATTATTTTACAGCGATATATCTTTTAGTTCGATATTTTAATCACTTTTATGTTTATTACGTAATATTGCAGTTTTTTTTAAGTTCTATAAGATTAAAATAGAGTTATAGTCATACATTAAACTCTAGACTTAATCAATCCATTAAGTAACGAACACAGAACATTCATAATTTTAGATTATTTGTTTATATTTCTATTATCTGTAATCGACTCTCGTCACGCTAATTTAAAAATAACTTTCAGCTAAATGTTACACTAAGTTAAAACCTAGGGAAAAATTATAGTCAGTACCTATAATAAAGAAAAACTAATTGCATTTAATCCATTAAAACTCATATTAATCATTATTAATCCATATTAATCACAATTAATTCCATTCACTATTGAAAAATATTTAAAAATCCAAATTAGATATTAAATTTTAAAAACTGTGTTATTATGATCAGTATTTAAAATTCACGATAGCGATCTATAGGAAATATTTAATAGTTACAAGCTACAACTACTGGAATTATTATAAAAGTCTCTAAAATATGTAATATTTTCAAAAAAAAAAAAAAAAAAAATTATGACCAAATTCTATAAAATTGAGATAGTAACCGATTTCTGACAAGTCTCTAGCACATATTAAAAGTTATTGTTATGATGTATATTAATTATGTTGTATGCTAATAGATTGTTTTTTGTAATCATCAAAGCAAAAAAATTAATTTTGTAGTTCATAAAATAAAGAAATTGTTTCATTTTCAACTTCCTACACGGCTGGTCGCTGGTCACCATAAATACATATAAAATGCAAAATTCATGAAGACTAATTTTAGCATAACACTAAATTTTATAGCTATCTCATTTTAGGAATTAGTTATTACACTGTGTAAATAATATTTTTCTAATTATCTAATTATATTTATAACATTATATTAACTTATACAAATATTTTCATTCATTTTGTATATTATATATGTAAATTAAAACTATATGAGAGAGTAATTTTCATGAAAAAATTTAATTTACATATGTTTTTTGAATGATTCAGAACATATACGTAAACCTTATAATTAACAGTAGTCTCAAACATAAGCTTTGATCCGGAGTAAAATAAACAAATACAAAGCGAGAATTGAAACTGCTAACTTTTTATAAAAGTATAATCTATATTATATTATACACTCTTAAATATTTAATGAAAATTACCATCAAGAGATTATTTAGGTTAAAATGTATGTATTATAGTTAGTACGATTATTAAGCGTTATTATTTATATCAACTAAATTATTATTTAAAATCATTAAAGTATTTTTTCATTGGACCTAATTAGTGTAAAATTCTACAAAATAGTAATAAATTGTTGTGATATTTTTTTCAAGTTAGATACTTATATCTACTCTTAAATTTTGAAATTTATAAACAAACCTAAAGTGTAAACAATATAAATATATAATCGGATAATCACAAGGTTTCGAGTAATTTAGCGAATTACAATACAAAATTAATACAAAATAGACATACCAATAGGTGCATTTTATTATTAAAGATTATAAATTATTGAAGATTATTTAATCATTTTAAAATATTATTACATTTTAATATTATAGATTGTATTTAATATTATATATTAGTTTTTTGGATGTTTCATATTTGTTAGAAATTAAATTAATTTAAACTTTAAATTTACACACATCGACGTTATTTTTAGTAATAGGCACCATTATGGGTCGGTCATCATGTAGAATAAATGTATATTTTTTTTTTAGTTATCCTCTCTCATCTTTTTTTACATTGTACGACATCGACGAAAAAGATGTGTCTCGTTAAAATGGAAATCTTTCTTAGATATTTATTTTCTTACTCGCTTTTAGTCATTGTATCATTATTATTAACATCAGTGTAATATTATCCCTTTTATTTCTCTATTATGTACGTTCAAATAGAATAAAATACTACGCATATTTAACTAAAACATCGTGGGGAAGTTAAATTATATAGGCTAATTACCATTGTTGTTGAAACCTTTAACTTAAATTTAAAAAAAAATAATAAAGTTAAATTATAATTTTTTAAATTTATAATTGTATGTAAATCAAAAAAACAATCAAATTCTCACTTATATATTGCAAATGGTATTTATTATATTTGCATAAAAGTAATACATAATAATACTTTATAGAAGTTTAAATTTATAAGTAAAAAATCAATTTCATTCATAAAATGTTTAAACAAAACATTGTTTTCTAATACTTAGACTTAATTAAAATTCATTGAATTTAAAACTCAGACTTTTTAGCCTATACTTTATTTCTTTTTCAATGCAGTAAAAAATAAGTATTCTAAAATATCCATTAAGCCAGAAAATTTCATAGTACATATTATATCATATATACTGAAGAATACAAGAAAAATTAAATTGTGTTATATCAATCATTTAAAAATAGTTATATAGTAATTTTTATCTTAATTATAACTACTTGGTTCTCATTTATAATTTTTAATTGATAATCATTATAAAATATTTCTACATAGTTTAATTTCCATAACTTTATGAAAATAATTACTGGATTTAGGTTTAAACTATTAAATTCTCATACATAATTATATTCTGTATTATATTTTCAACTTATTCTTTGTACCTACATATTTAAAATACTAAACGCTATTAAAATAATGATTATGATATGTCAAATAATTAAAGGTTAGTTAAATAATAATGATGATTTGGAATGGTGAACATAGTACGTCATACAAATTGATAGTTAAGAAGCCAAATAGTTTGGAATTTATAATACATTTTAAAATTTAAATTAATGATAAATAGTTCTATACAACACATATTTCTAATTTTTAAGTAAAAATTGGTAGTATATTAAAAAAATGAACACATTTTTTTTTCAAAATTTCATATAGTGTTTAAAATACTTGAACCAAATTTATTATTAATTCTAGAAATACTAAATAAAAAATTACCTGTCATCATACACGAACCCAGCTTTTAACGTGTTGTAGTTGACCAAAAATGCCAAAGCTACGCAAGCTGAACTACCGGTTTCCATGGCTAAATATTGATGAATAATTTACAAATAATAGCCTGAAAAAAGATACAATCAGCAATATAACAATATTATCAATACAAAATAGTTTTTATTTTAAAATATTTAAGCATTAACATGATAATATACAAAAAACAGATATTATATGCTGTTTTAGTACACTTCTTATTCAGTTAAATTGATTAAATTATCTGATGGTCTTCTTAAAATCAAATTTATTTGTATTCTAAATAATATTCAGAAAAAATAAAGTAACATCTATGACTATGAAAATTTTATATTAAATAGAAATACATTTAAATTAACTTTTATTTACTATTAATTTCCAATCGAATAACATAGACAATATTAAATATGAGTGTTAGTACATTTTAATTAAATATTGAAAAAAGAAAATAATCTATTAATTATACAAGTATATTTTATTTTTTTTTGAAATTAAGGTAATTATATAGAAGTTTAAAGTATAATTTGAGTTAAAATGAAATGCATTAATTTATAAGCTCAATGAAAGTTATATATACATTTTTAATAAATATTGTAACGATAAATTAATACAAATTAATAGAATTGTTAACAGATATATTAATCTCTAAAAAAATAATTATTTTATTGATTTTTACTAATTTGCATTAAAAATAAAGACTTTAAAACATAATTTCTATAGGATGTAAATATTTCCAGAGATACTATTCAACTGACTATAATCAAATTTTCTAGCTACTATAGTATTAAAAATTTACGTTCTTAAAAAGTAAAAATAAAATAAAGGGAGGTAAAATGAGAATAACTAACATCTGGTCTGGATTACCTAAAATGATGAGTATCTCTATTTTTCCGCGTTCCTTTACTAATTAATTGATTTGAATAAAAAAACAAGCAGAGACGTTAGAAATCTTCTCAAATAACATTATTAAAAAGAAACTGACAGAGTTTAAGATCAGATTTCGGCAAAACCTTTTGTTCTTTTGAAACGATTTTTAAAAGCTGTTTCATATTAAAAATTTCCTATTACTCTATATCTTATTCATATCAATTCATATCAAAGACAGATTTAACAAACAATAATCTAATGTTTTTTTTAAATTTATAGATATATTACAGTTAACAATAACACCAATTCTATAAAACAAATTTTAAAATTATTCTTAGAAAGCATTAATAAAATTATTATTTTTAATTGTTTCAAAGTTATTATTTACAGTTACTCATATTTAATAATATGAAGTTAAGGATTACTTAATCGCATCTAATATATAATATTTATTTAAACATTTATATGACGTTCTAGAATACATAAAATAATACACCTAATTAATAATAACTAAATATATGACTTAACAATCTTATGAAGACAATATTGATTATTATATTATGTACAAATAATACATATTTTAGACAATTTTGAAGAAAATAAGAACATTTTAAAAATAATTATTTACAAATATTTTATGAATAGGTACTTAAAATTATTTTTTTGAATATGTAAAATATAAATATGCAATTTTAGTTTGTGATTTATTGTATTCAAACATTTCAATTGTATTTAAATTTTAAATAAAACATTTTAATAAATAATCATAATATTCATTAAAATGTATACTTGAATAACAATTTATTCAATTTTTAAATATAATTTACAAGCCTTAGTATTGATGTTTATAAAAATACATGACTAGAAAGTATGTTAGTTTTAAAAGTAATAGTGAATAATAATTTAATTTCAAAATAATACTATACAAAAATATATACTATTTATTGTAGGTAAAAATTATCTTTCAAAGTATATCGCTGAGTTTTAATTAAAAACGATTGAAACGGTTACACTTTACTCACTTTATGCACATTAGTTCAAAATGTAAATAATTAATTAGGTATTATTATTATTATTATTATTATAATTTTTAATTTAAACGAGAAATAATATTTTTATCTAGCTTAATTTAATTAACAACTGTTAAAAAATATATAAGAATTTTATAATTATCTAACTATCTATTTTATAACTATTAAATCATAATGTTTAAATTAATATAAAATTAACGGACTTTAACGATATTCATGAATCATTAATACATTTTATTTTCGCAAAATATTATTTTTTGGAACAAAATATGAATAACTATATTAAATTATAATAAGTAAATATGTCCTTTAAGTATGAATTAAGTATTTAAATTGACTAATATTATCTAAATTTAAATTTAAATGTTCATTAAGAATAGTATATATATAGTAAATATAATATATATAATACAATTATTTAAAGTATGTTTATAATTATATAATATTAAAATATGTTTGTTATATTTATAAAATTTACATTGATAGTATAATAAATGAACATGTCAAGTATAAATAAATAAATAAATAGTATAGTATGTTAAATAAGAAACACTGAGAAATATTGTTGTATAAAAAAATAAATTAATAACATATGCCTATAATCTATATATTATATTTATTTTAAACATACTTATTTTTTATAAACGTACGATAAACACAAAACGAATAATTTTATTTGTTTTCAACTTAATAATCGTATGGTCTAGACGGCTGTGGTGATAAGATTCTTGGATATTAGTTTTGTTTTCATATTTCGAATAACAATGACAGTTGGTTTTTAAGACTCGAGGTTAACTTCAATAATATTCCTTTTTATTATTATTATTATTATTGTTACTACTATTACTATATTGCGATATTTATACGTAGGCTAGACTAGACGACCGCGAGCTTGTCTCCATATTTATTTAGACAATCAAAATTAGTGACCCACCAAAGAGGCGTTTATTGTAATATTCACATACATTTGGCGGGTGCATATTATTATTATATTCAATTGTTATAGTGCTCTGGATGTCGAAGGGCATGTCAATAATATTAGGCGTTATAGTCAGTAAAGGCAGCTCATGGCAGTGGAAAGCGAATAATATCAACTTTTATCGGGTCCAACTGACCCTCGTTAAAAAATGTTATTTCGTTTTCTCCTTCCCCCTCATCACAAAAAATCGTATTGTTCATTCGTTGTACTGTAGAATAAAATATACATAATGAATACACATGAAAACCGAAATAGTATTTGGTCTTTACCTTCAATGGATATAACTTTGATATTCACTGTCTCCTATGTATCGTCGGTAGCGCATTTAAGCGAAGAAAGGGTTTGTGTGGGGATCACATATACCTGAGATATTAACTCCAATTAATAATATATGAATAAGTGTAACTATATTTACGTTTTATTATTTATAATAATATAGTACAATTTTGATTTTTATCTTTATCGTTGTCAAATAATAAGATTCCAAACACTCTTACCTCATTCCCTGAAAAATCCTAAATACGCTTTACATCACCCCAGCTAATTTCAATAACGTAGTCGTGCGACGCGTAGATAACGTGATTTTAAATAGCAATGCACTGCCGACTTACACCACCCCCGCAACTATCAACATTAACGAAAGCGTATATTACATAGAGATGGTTGAGCTTAGGCATAAATACTCTTTCTCTGTCTACCAAACTTTCGATCCATATCTCTCTCTCATCTTTCTCTCTTACACCCTGCTCCTCACTACAGTCTCTTTCCTGTCATGATTTTGCCTCCGTAAAATGACAAATATAATCCGTGAAAGGGGACGATATACTGTGCTTTATACTGGCCGGAGGGCTGACAAAGAGGGTAGGTATTTAGACCACCCTAATGTAAACAATTTCCCAAACGATTCGTTTATAATAATATTATCAGAAAAAGTAAGCAAAGCAAGTAATTTATAACAGTTTTCCATATAAAATCAAATTTCCAAATAACGTTTATTACTGACCTACGTAAGACCGTCGTATAAAAATCAATATTTTAATATGACCATTTATAGTAGCCTATATAATGCCGTAACACTCAAAATTCCATGAATATAATAAATATTTGATACAAATTATCGGATATGATTTGACTAAATATGTTTTGCAATTCAGTAAATTTTCAAAATATTAAGTTTTCAATAAGTGTCAACGACAAAAACTTGTGATAAAATTGAAAACATTAAATGCTTACCAAAATTCATGCTAGTAAAGCTTTTAATTGATAGAAATTATGAATAAAATACCTGAATTCCCTAAATGCTTTATCATTATAGTTGATTTTTCAAAAAAGATATAAAAATAAATAAAATTCATATTATTAATCTATCATACTAACACGTTATATATACTTACAATGTATACTAGTGTATTAATTATTAGTTATTCAAGTAAAATATCGCAGTAAAATATCATGAACTAGAAACTATTGAGATTCAAGAAAATGTAACTAGGTACATATAACAAGTTATAAAATAAATCAGAAAGTGTCTAATAGATGTATTTATAACATAGGTAATAATATTTATTATTAATATTTTATTATTTCATCATATAAAAAATGTATAGTTAGTAGTCTTTAGGTAATACTATAGTAAATGTGTTGCTATAAAAGGCTAATTTTATCCTGGAAATACAAAAAATAAATTTCATTATGAATTACTTACCAGTCTTAAGTCTAATACTTCACTAAAAGTCTTATTTATTGTAAAGAATACTAAACAAAAACTATTGTGATAACTATACATTAAACGATGTAATATATATTTTTCTAAATAACCTAATTTAAATTACTGTTATAGATCTAGAATGGTATTTTAGTTTTAAATTAGATTTAAAGTTACTATACTTTTACCACTAATATTAATTTCAGTTTTATTTTGTTTTTATTTCAAAAAGTTTTTTAATATATTTTTAGATTGCTATATAATACACGAAGTGTTACAAATTTCTAAGTAAATTTAAATTAATGGAGTAGTTAAATAGTCGTCAGGTAGTTGGATTAGGTAAGTCCTCTTTATTGTATATTATCGTGTTGAATAATAATTGTACATTTTCTTTAGTTTATTTTTACATAAAATTTTATCAATTCTGTCAATGTACATAAATATTATACTCTAATTGATTAATAAAACACAAATAACTAACCATAAATTTTATTAGAAAATAAATAAAACAACTTAATATTATCAGAAGCGTATTTAGGCGTAGGTCCTATAGCATGAGCTAGAAGGGTCACAGTTGTAAGGTGAATAATTTTGACCAATACTAAATATGCATTATCGAATGTGCTTAAAAATGTTTAATTTTATTTATAATCTTCAATAAAATGAAATAAATATTTACTCGATATATATATATTATAAGATAAAATTATAATCAAACGAATTTGTATCCTTAAATATATGAAACACTTAAGATATATTATGTTAAATCATAATTTATAATTGTAAGACTGAAGTTCTATTTTACCTCAAATAAATATAAAGTTACTCAAGATTGATTAAAATGGACAAAAAAAATTCAATTGAATACTGAAGCTAATTATTCATCTATTTTTAATAATGAAAATTCAAATGATTTTGAGAAAAAAAAATTTTATATATCTAAATAAAATTAAATTGTAAATTACAAAAATAAAATAGATATTTTTTTGTTTTATATTGTACAATGTCTAATAAGTAATGAAGCTTCTTTTTCACATATGATAGTGTAAGATATTTTTACTCGTATTGGTTTTATAGGAACGCCTTAATGGAGAACATTTTTTCTTAAGCAAATTTTCCCAGTTAATTAAATATGTATAAATGTTATCACAATTTCTTATTTTAAATATTTACAGATTATAGTTTCTATAAAATAATAAAAATAAAGATATATAGTTTATAAGCATATGTGTTTATAGTCTAATAAGAGATAGAGAATTAAGAAGTGTCTTTAAGCGTAAAAACTTAAATGATTCACTATATACAAATATTAATATAAGTATGTAAATATAATATACAATAAAAAATTCATATACAAATTGTACTTTAAATTAATAATTATAATTAAAATGATAAATTAAAAGTTAAAATTATTTTCAATATAATATACTATCAATTAACTTTAGTTTATTAGCAACATATTATTTTATGCATACTAGGTACGTTCATTAGATCCCTTTGTTCAAAACTCAAATTCCCTAAACTAACAATTTCCAAAGCAATAGCTAAACTAAGTTGTACATTTCACTTCTTGTTCATATAAGATTAGAAACAAAATATTTTTATTATATGAAACACAAACAGACAACCTCATTTTTAACAATTAAAAATTACACTTAATTAATGTAGGTAACTAAAACATACAATATATTTCTATAGACAAATTCATTAAATTAGGCATAAAAAAAAAATATGTTAAACATATTTTTTAATCTATAACTTTTATGAAATTTTTAAAATACACCAAATACTTATTGATTCAAATATATTAGGGTGCAAGTCAAAATATAATAGCCTATGTAATACAAATAATAATTATTGGCTGGCGAATTTATAACTTATATTTCAAATAATTGTTATTTTGAATAAAGTATATATTGTACCTAGTAGTTATTATAGGTGTCGAAATCAAATTTAAATGCACAATAGTATAGTAGGTTTACATATTTAAATTTTCATTTAGGAAAATCAGTGTTTAAATAAATCAATGTTAGATTTAAGTTTCTATAATTGATGGATCTCCATTATTTTTTGTAGATTTTTAAAATAAAATTTTAACTATTCGTACAGACAGATTGGTGACATGAAATTTATCCAATATATAGCTACACTTACACGGAAATCTGCGTTTTCCGGTATACAACGTGTTACCGGTTCGGCAGTCTACTTAAATCCATAGCAAAAGCTCACACAGACGCACATGGGAATGAATTTATTCTAGACAAATAGTTTGAAATATTATGCACAAGAGTAATCGTCGGACAGGATACGAAACGAAGTCGTGCGTGAGACTCAGAACGTAGCCCACGACAGAGAACACCGTGGGAATACGAACGAACTGATACGAAAATATGGAATTTCAGGCGATAATTGTAAAGAAATAATTATTATTATGTATAGTTTTCAGGCGTTTAAGTCAACAATACACGAGTCTCGAACTCCGCGAGGGTCTGTTATCTTAGGTATAATGACGTCGTAATCGTCGTCGTCGTCGGCGGCGGCGGCAGCGTCGGGTTGCGCGCGGTAGCGATACCGAAACGTTACTAAAGCGCGCGGTCGTGGCGTAACAGTGGCGGCGACGACGACGACGATTCTTCTACGAGCGCGCCACGGCTGTTGCCGGCACACGGTGCATGCGAGTTGCGTCGTTATACGTATATTATAGGGATCATGCGTGGACTCGATCCCTTTCATATTATATATTTTCGCGTTTAGAAAACATACAAGTGTGCGTGTGTATGATAGTATGATATGACGTTTCGTAAGGGCAGATGGATACAGAAGGGGTGAGTGAGAGAAGAAGCAGTCGTCAATACTCTTTCAATTAAAAATTCTAACATAAAAGGGAACATGCTAAACGATGAAATTTGAGCCCCTATTGTATACGTGAACTCAGTATTTGTACACACACTCACATACTCACATAATATATACCTAACTATACACCACTGGCTCGACAAATAATATGTATACGTACGTATTCATACCATTCCATACACCCCTCCCATCAAATTACCAACATATTTTGGCAAAAACATCACAATATTATCAAAAGTATAATAAAAAAATACGAAGTTTAATGAGCCACACACAACCATCAACGACAAATGTCTTATATTATAATATTACGATGTTGTTCTCTATAGTATGCTGAGGAAATATGATGTAACCAACCGGAGTCAATTTCATGTGAACATACAGCGTTGCAATAGTGCGCGATGTTATAAGCATTTGATAGGGACACATATTATATTATTGAGCACAATGCATAAGATAGATACGACTATAATATAACATATAACAAGTATATTGAATATTCATGATAATAACTGCGAGCGCTGGCAGAAGACTATATAATATCGCATATCCAATTTATACCAACCACATTTTCTAAACATGAATACTAAATAACTAAATAATTTTAATTTTAAGATCTTCCAGCCTTTTTATAAATTAATATTAATAAGGCAAGGTGAATCTGATAAAAATAAATTTACAATTACGGATAAAATAAAACATGGTCTGATATATAGTTTTTCGAGAAAAAAATAGAACTTCGGGAGATCAAGACTGTATTGTACAAATATTTACAAATTTATCTTTGAATGAAAACGAAAATATAACGTGAACACCATCAACTAGATTAACTGAAAAACCCGTGATAATCGCATTTACGAGAATATTTAGAATTGCTTTAAAAGGCTTATTTCTTATTTTGTTTTAGAATAAAGATATAACCTCCAATGTACAACAATATTGAAGTAAAACGATGGATCTAAGTTATATATTAAAAATGATATTTAAAACTAATTCAACAACAATTTGTGTTGTTTAAAATATGTATGATCAATTATCCAGTTGAAAAAAATTGCTACAATTATTTTATATTTGGATAAACATGGAACATTAAAATTTATAACATTTAACGATACTGGTCTAAGCGTCCAGATGATTACAATATGACGAACCCTTAACATACAGTTTCTTCTTCATTATTATTAATATATTACAATATCACATCTTTTTATTTTAATTAAATAGTATATTTTAAATTTAAATTGTTAATATTCATATAAATCGCTTCTTATTTTTTTTTTTTTTGTAATAAATCCTACTTAAACTAGTAAGAAAATTATAATTTTTTTCCGAAAAAAAATTATAAAATATTTAAAATATTCCTCATAAATTGACATTATAGCTATTTAAAAATTTAAAAATATGTAGATCAACAACATTTTTTTTTATAAATGTTTAAAGTTCAAATTTTTACGAAATTAAAATACATTTAAACGAAGAAAACGATTTTAGTTATTTAGATGTAATACAAATATATTATTCACGGATATTTAAAATTTAAAATAAATTAATATTCATTAGAATTTAAACATTGTACATACATATCATATTAACAGAACTATACAAATAATGCCATAAAAATTTAGTATTGATAAAAATAATTATCTTTGGAAGCTATGCTTGCTGTAGAGACAATGGTTCTTTTCTTATAATTTCTACTTATACAAATATTAAAATAATTGAATGATCATACTTTGAATTAGTGACTATAAAACTTCTTATACAAATTATTAAATCTTTAAATTTTTTAGAATTACAAATAAAAGTATAATATAAATGCAATACAATTATTATATTTTTTAAGCTAATAATTTGATTTTTCATTCAATATTTTTTTATATAATTTAAAAATTAACATTAGTTTTTCATTGTCATCTTAATACTGGTTAGCAATAATAAGTCCAAATAGGTCTGTCATAAAAAAATTCTGAACATAAAAACTCCAAAGTAAAAATGTCTGAAATATAAAAAGTCTGATGTATATATATATATATATATATATGCGTGTGATACACAATTAACATTCCAATTAGTATCAATATACACTTTAGTTAAATAAGTTATCTTAACTATCTTGTCTATCGAGTTTTTCTCATACACCGAATATATTCAATGCAGTTAATAAAGATAAAGATTTTAAGTTTTAGGTATATCATATGTGATTAATCAGTTGTTATTTTTTTTCAGCATAGTTCGACTAAAAATTACAATTATAATTATATTTTTATTTGTGATTTATTTTTTATTTTTTTATTAAATAAATACTAACCAGACTTTTTTCTTGGACTTTTTATAGTTATGAAATTTTTTCTTCGAACTTTTTTTCTGTGATTCTTATTAATATTATCATTTAAGAGATTTATTTTACCATATTAAATTTTATATATAACTATATAAGAATTAAAAACATATCGCTATAATTTGAATTTGTACAATAGTAATATTTAAATTTAAATTTTTGAACATCTAATACACATTCGATAACATTAATAAGCATATAAATGTTTTAAATTTAATAAATTGCATTCTCTATATAACAGCAGTACTCATACTACTATGTTTTATTATACTTAAAAATGTACGTATTTACCTAAATTATCTAATTTTATTCATGCAATACAATTTTAAAAATTAATGTATTCAGAAAAAAAATAATTGTACCTGCTGTATATCTGTATTTCTAATAGTAAAACAAACTTTAATAGTAATTTAAATATATCATAAAATATACCTTAGTAGTAGTATAAAGCTGATAAACTATTTTCACTTAGAATTGTATTTCGTTTGCAATAGTCAATCATTGAATTACAAATTTAACATTCATTATAGATGAATTACTCAATAACAAGGTACACTTGACACCAAATGTACAGTAAAACGGTTACCTACTTTTCCATTGACAGTTTTAAATATTTAGTTTAGATTATAATTATTTGTATAGTTTTTATTTTACATTAGAAAAAATATCATAATAAATTTAATTTTGTGCTTGAACCATATTTTAAATAAAAAATATTTAATAGATAACTATAAATTCCTGATAAATTTACTACCCTAAATCGACCAATTTGCTTTTATGGCATTCTGTTAAAGAGTGGATAGAGCATTGTTTTCGGTTTATTGATAATATTTGCCTTTTTTTTTACCTTAAAATATAATTGCAATGCTTATCTATAGAAATTTTCAACCTAGAAGTTTTAGTATCTAAAATTATGTTTGTCAAAATATTATATTTTATTCAACTACATTTGTGTGACCTGTATTTGAAGATAATATCTTTAAAGTTAGGTATAAAATAGTTACTTAATATTTATATATATAATACAATATATAACATATTATGTCTTGAAAAAAGAATCGTATTTTTATATTTAATTAAAATAAAAATAATAATAATGAATAATAATTGGTTCTTACTTAATTTATTTCCCACCACCGCATTATATAAAATGTATCACTCTTTATACACTACCATTACACATTTTTTCAAATAAAAATAAATAAATAGAAATAACATATTTTTTACATTAAACTATTATTTAACATAGTTAATAATTTCTAATTACTCATAAATTAATACAATAAATTCTTAAAGTCATATAATTCATTTTTTTAACTTTCGGTGATATAATTGTGTTATAAAAACAAAATAATACCGATTAACAACATTTTAAAAATTAGTTAATAACGTTTTTAAAATGAGCATACACTTGAAATTACTCATAAAATATACTTAAATATTATGAAATATCATCAATTTTCCTAAATATTTATAGTTCCTCCAAACATAAAAAAAAAACTGAAGAGGTGTGATGAATAAAATAAAAATGTATAACTAATGTGCATGGTTTTAATTGATTATCACTAAAAATAATATGTTGGATTATTTATTTTATTGACAGGGAAAAAAATCTAATTTTCATTAATTTTTACTGTTTATTATATTAGAACATCATTAACATTCTTGTGGGCGTATTTGTTTCTATATCATAATCATTCTAGAATATTTCTTAAGTAATATTATGATTATGTTGTATAATTTTATTACTTCGAAATATTAATAAGTAATTCGTTTAAGCTGACTGCAAATTTTCAACCACTTTGTATAACCCAGTCACGACATAGGAAAAGTTTACAAACTACGAATCATCTAAACGAACCGTTTACAACGGCTGGCCAGCGTTAATTAGTCGCAAACCACAATTGATTAATGCTCACACTATGTTAGGCAGTCCTTACAAGAACTTGAAAGTTATTAAGTGATTATAATTATTATTATATCGTAACCTCTAAAATCACCTGCCAAAAACTACCAGAATTTTTAATATTTAAAAAAATATTATTAAAAAATATAAAAACATTTAACTCCTATTCCACTAGAAATAATTAAAAAGTAATCCATTTACTAAATTAAAATATAATATTAACTAATGGATTAATAAATTATGTTATTTAATAATGGTAACCATTTTAATATTGTATATTAAATATTTTATTCTAAATTATATTTCTAATTAAAATTACGGTTACTTATACAGAATAAATGAACTTTTTCAATAAATGTTACAATAGTTTCACTTAAATAAAACTTTTATAAATACAAGATTGCAATAAAAATTAATACCTAATAATATTATAATTGTCTATATGGAACTAACTTCTAAAATGA